TCTCTTTCTCTCTTTCTCTCTTTCTCTCTCTCTCTCTTTCTCTCTTTCTCTCTCTTTCTCTCTTTCTCTCTTTCTCTCTTTCTCTCTTTCTCTCTTTCTCTCTTTCTCTCTTTCTCTCTTTCTCTCTTTCTCTCTTTCTCTCTCTCTTTCTCTCTCTCTTTCTCTTTCTCTCTTTTTTTGGGAGGGGGTTTGTTTTTTGCTGGGTTTGTTTGGGTTTTCTGTTTTTGGTAATGTGTGTCTAATCAATCTGTGGATCCTACTGCATGGGTGTTAGAATGTCCTCATGTCCTTATATTATTTTGTAGGTATGACAGTGTAGTCTTGCATATGTTGAATACTTAAAAATGTCTTCTGAATCAGTAGGTTTGTCCTTGATGGTAATTTTTCATCTGCTGGGCAGTTCTATTGGCAGCATTGTAACTGCAAGGAGCTTGCCTCATTTGTTGATATTTATGGCTACTCTCTGTGTTTCAGGTTAAGAATAAAATGACAAAAGAACAATATATTAAAATGAATAGAGGTATCAATGACAGTAAAGATCTCCCTGAAGAGTATTTGTCTGCTATCTATAATGAAATAGCTGGAAAGAAGATTTCAATGAAGGAAACAAAAGAATTAACAATACCCACAAAATCTAGTAAACAAAGTAAGTAGTTTTAATACTAGCTTTCTTTGAAGTTTTGGCTCTTCAGTTTCATCAAATTCTCCTTTTTAAAAGGAGAGTTCAGTGAAGCAAACACCACTCAAATCAAAATGAGTCCTCCCTTCTAATTTTATATCGTTTTTCTTTTAACGTAAATGCATGACGATGCCTTCAAATCTGTGTTAAATGCAACTGCTTATTTTCACTTCCCTTTGTGTCTGAATTCCTGGCGATTGGTGCATTCACCATGGAGAGAAGGCAGGTTTTGCTGTTGAACAGCATCACATGGAAATTTAAGGGCTTTATGAAAAAAGTGTCACCGATAGGCATAGTGCAGAATAGACACACTGGGTGGGTCTTCTATTTCTATAGTAACCCTTGTGATTTCCTGCAATAACCAGTCTGTCATCTTCAAAAATGTTGCAATATTTGGTTTGTACGGCACTAATTTATGCATTTATAAAATGAATTATCTTTTCCTCTCTCAAATACCTGAAAAACTTGAGAAAAAAAAAACAACTTGTGTTTTACACAACATGAAGATTCAGGTGTTATTTATTCTTTTCTACAGAGAAGATTAAAGAGACTTGACTTTTTCCCAACATATTTGTATACTTTCAAGTTCTGTGTTAGCCTTATGAACAGATTGCTTGCAGGAAACTTGCATCTGGTAAAAAGAATCCCTCTTGTTTTCAGTATTTATTCAGTTATCATTATGTTTTATTGTAATTTTTAAAAAACTTATTATTGCATGCTTCTTGGATTTCACTGTCTTGATGCGATGGAGATTCTGTTATGGAAATGAAAACGTGATTAATGTAGTTGTCCATCAGAAAAACAATGTCCAGTTATTTTTATTCTTATTTTGTATGCTGATAGATTACTACGAAATGTTTCTTCGCTTTGAATTTAGCTTAGGGATGTGATATTTATGCTGTCAGTTGAGGTGATGGAGAAGAAATCTTTGTTGTGCAAATCTTAAAATGCTATAAAGGTTTAAAAACAGGTTACATTTCACACATTAGTTTGCCTTAAGTTAAATTTTATCTATATTGTAAAAGAAATATCTTTCTGGTGTGGTAATGTCAAAATGTAAAGTTAATAGAAAAATTGCATCTGAGTATTGCACTTAATGAAAAATGTGAAATTCTTATATTCCTAAAGACACCTCTAGTAAAGATGCACAAATGAGAGGAAAAAATCTGTTTACAGGTGTTGCTAGTGAAAAGCAGAGAAGACTCCTTTATAACTTGGAAATGGAACAAATGGCTAAAACAGCTAAAGCTCTTATGGAGGCAGTGAGCCACGTTCAGGCCCCTTTTACTAGTGCAACACACCTGGAGCATGTGAGACCCATGTTTAAGGTGAGATATGTGTTTAATACGGAGAGTGTCACAGTTTCTTAATAAAAAATACTGGCTGATAGGATTTATTGAAAATGCTAAAGATTTGTATCTGCTATGTTTTGATCATTTTGTAAGTTATTTAAATTGCTACAGGAAAGAAAGGATTTTGAGCCTTCTAATCTAATTTAATTTATCCTGGAATTTAAGAAGTTTCAGTGCTGGTGGAAGCAGCATCTTGATGCAATGGAGGAGTTAAGAGGAGTATGTTAAGGGGAAAAAACTATAAGGAATAGTTAAAAATTTGAAGTGTTAGCATTTTTATTTCAGGTATAGAGATGTAGTCCAATCCAGATTTATAAAAGTGAGAAATTACTAATTTCAGTTTGTTGTTTTGACTCCCTCTTATTGCGTCTAGGTGAGATTACTTAATTGTGTTTTGGGGGAGCAGTTATCAGAAAAAAATTTTACCTAATGTTGTCTGTGGCAGATTATTACTTCAGACAAGCTAAGACTACTTTGGGAGGAAGTAGCTGGACCTGTATTAAACTATTATTCTAAACACCTGTCTTTGCTCTTGTGTAGATCCACATCCCAAATGCCTTTTCTGTACCAGTGATTCAGATTCATAGATTCAGAGCCATTCAGCAGTGTGTGATGCCTCAGTGTGCTCTTGGATGTGGTCTCTGGCAAAACCAACCCATAGCAGCTATCTGCCACTGAAATAAGTTGTTGTGCCCTTACCATGTGCTCTCATTTGTGGCCCTTTGTGCAAGTCGTGGTCATCGCATGACCCCTTTGTGAACTGCTCCAGGGAGGTGAAGTCTCAGACCACTACTCCCATTACAATAAACAAATGGTTCCCTGGAGGGATGTGTTGTGAGGTCAGGTGGAGCTCCATGCCCAGGATCAAGAATCATATAATCATTTAGCTTGAAAAAGACCTTTAGGAACTTTGTTTTCAACTGTTAACCCAGCACTGCCAAGCCCACCACTAAACCATGTCCCCAAGTGCCACATCTACGTGTCTTTTATATACCTCCACGGCTGGTGACCACACCACTTCCCTAGGCAGCCTGTTCCAATATTTTTCAACCCTTTCTGTGAATAAATTTTTCTGAATATCCAATCTAAACCTCCCCTGCTGCAACTCGAGGTCATTTCCTCTTGTCCTATTACTTGTTACTTGTGAGAAGAGACCAGCTCCTTCACCAGCTTTATTGCCCTTCTCTGGACATGCTCCAACACCTCAATGTCTTTCTTGTCCTGAGGGGTTCAAAACTGAACGCAGTATCCGAGGTGAGGCCTCACCAGTGCTGATCAGGTCCGGGGGGATGATCACTGCCCTGGTCCTGCTGGTTACACTATTTCTGATACAGGACAGGATGCCATTGGCCTTCTTGGGCACACTGAGGACCTAGCTGTGGCATTGCTGTCCATGAGGCAAACTTCTGAGTTCTTTGTCACTTTATTAATAAAAGTAGCATAGCACTCTGTTTGTACAGAGGAACACTAATGTACCCCTTTTGAAAGATCTACTTTCGGGGTGTCCCTTGGTAGAGGTATACTGTACATCCCCTCTGCTGACTTCTTTAAGACTGAAATGAAATCACCTGCATGCAGGCATCTGTAAAATTTGTAGTCTATTTTTTCTTAAAATACCAGCCCTAGTAGTTCCTAGCCTTTAGCTATATCAACAGTGGCTTGGATACAAGAACATGGAGGGATACAACAAAATTAAGAGCAGATTCACATCCTATATTTCTTGTTGTTGCCTTACCGTAATTTTAGTGGAATTAATAAAGTTTGCCCTATTTTCTGTAAAGTCCATTTGCAGCTCCATTTTCAAAGGAGCAAAATATGAAGCATGAGGATAAATTAACACCCTTAATCTCTTTTGTGAAGGTGCTAAGAATCAGAAGTTTCCTTACTTGAGGATGTCCATGAACTAAGTAAACTACTGATGACAGTGTAATGTGTTCTCAAAAAAGTGAGAACTGTGAAATTTAAATACTGAATTTCATATTTTTTAGACTTTTTAAAAATTTTTATTTCAGCAAAATTTTATAAATTTCTGGGTATCTCACCTATTGATGTCCATGTAGAATTGATCACTATAACTGTATTTACAGATGGATTTGCTAAATTATTAAAACAGAGCAAAAATTTACTCTAAGTATCTGCCTAAGCAACCCAAAGTTGATTGTCTGGTTTTGGGGCTTAATTTTCACCCTTAATGACAAAACAATTTATTAAAAATAACAGAAAAAAATCTAGTTATAAAGCATATATACAGATCATTAGATAGTTCTTAAGAAAGTATTTCACTTTTGTGATTTTTAAGATTTGGTTTCAATAGGAATGAAAAATTAGGAAGGCGGTGAGAAGAGACATACATTTCTGAACATAAAGTCACAGAACAGTTTGGGTTGGAAGGGACCTTTAAAGGTCATACAATAGGGAATTAAATCTTGGATCTAGGAATTCATCTGATGCCTCCAATACTGTCCCACAGTTAGCCTTTGGTATATGCAAGGGTTAAATGCTTTTCTGAGGTAGTGCATTTGGAATTGCTGGCTTAAATTAAACCAGACCTCTATGGTGCATCATTTTAC